ACAAAACATGCATAGAACTTTACTTTTACAATTTTCAGCTCGATGGTTTGTTTTCAAACACTTAAAGCAACATTTCTTTCTCTTTCATAATCTTCAATTTTTCATCATGACTTAAATTTTGTGCTTTGTAGCAATCTTTGTTTTGATGAGATTTTTCACAGAAGATACAATTTACAAAATTATTGTTATTTATTTCTTTTGCTCCCGAAAACAAATTGCTTGCAGTAGGTATAGTAATATCTTCCTTATCCTTATGAATTTTTGTATAGGGATCACTTTGCTTCATACCTGACTTTACTAGAGTTATTCTTTCTCCCCTTCGACCTCAGCCCTTAGAAAATTTAAAAGTTGGTTCAGTCTTGAACTTTATGATTTCTCTTAATTTACTGAGTTTCTCAACCAAACTCTCAACACGTCTTCTGGAATACACGACTCCACAAGCGGAAAGAGCATTGCTGAATATTTGTCTAATATCATCCCAATAAATTCTAAAGGTCTGAGGTGGGATTCAAGTTTATCATATAATTGAGTGATACTAAGCCTTAATTTGGTAGCATTTTTAATAACTAAAGTTAATAGTTCACGAACATAGTATTCCACTAACAATTCCTTACGGCCAAATTTTGCTTTAAGGCTTTCAATCGCTTTTGAATAATTTTCTGCCGTAGGTGGGTAGCTGTCGATAATCTCTTTCGCTCTTGCAACTGGCGACATACATTGTATTAAGTATTGGAATTTGTCTTCCAATTCCATTTCTTTATGATCATGAATTCGTTTAAACTGACTCATAACCATTCTTTAACTTCACCGCTAAATTTCAATAGTTCAAGTTTGGGAAGTTTTATTTTTGATTTCTCATTACCTAATATATTCCTGTTTGGCTGTGATTTACTTTCTATAAAAGAATTGACGCAAACTATAGCTTTATCAAATTTGACTTTATATTCTTCTACAGATTCAAATTCATCAGAATAACTTTTATCATTATCGTTTGCACTTAATGCAAATTCTAAAATTTCGTTATCAAGAGTCATTAAACTAGCACTAATGCGTTCTAAAGTAGCTAATTTCATTTAACATAATTTATTTCTATATTTTCATCATCAAACAGAGACATTAAACTTTTATATGTCTTAGTAAACGATGTTCGTAACGGAGATCGCTTCTTAACAAGATGCTCCATTGCAAACCAAAACCAAAATTCAATTATTTCTTATATAAAGTACTCACCTCTTATACTTAATCACGTACTGAGGGTCATCAAATGTTAGATACGACAATAAATGTACACCATTCTATCCATTCATCAGCTCATTTCTACCTAAATAATCTCTCAAAAATTTAAACACAACCAAACGTGTTTATTCTACCAACTTAACATTTTACAGCTGTTGCCACTCAAGCAAACCTAAAAGGAAAATTAATGTTACACTGGTTGAATGTAGATGAACATTGCTATACTCAACAGAGCCCGTTCGCTGGATTTGAACCGCGAACCGAACTACCAGCGTTCAGCAACTTTACCGCTCGGCCGTTCGTGGGCCTAGAATAAGTTGATGAATTTAGCCCTTGACTTTGCCTTTTCTGTACTTTCGCTTTCGGGTGAGGGGTACCATTGCATCCTAATTGGTTTAATTACCGCGAATGGCCCTAGGGCATAAAATTGAAATATCTGGTAAAAATTCTATGTAATTGTATGCCAGTATTGAAAGAAACAATCAATCTGATAAGAAATGGCGGCGACTTGCTTTGAAAATGAGGCGTAAAAGGTTACGTAATTAACTGTAGACTGCAGATGAGGGAATTCCAGAACACTTCTACTAAATAAACGACCCGTGTCCATGTAAAGATAAAATAGTTTAACTTCCTTGGTTTCAGAAGCTAGTTCCAGATCGATATGAAAGTTTTTAGAGGCACTTGCGCCCTAATACCTACTAGCTGATTCGAATAGACCGAATTTCCAAAATTCTCACCTGGGCCGCGAGTGGTCTGGCCTGCCGATAGGACCTACGGTGGCCAGTCACATGAATTGGGAAAAACCCTAATTCGTTTTTTATGGCCATAAGCCCGGTCGACGGGCAAACGATGCATATGGTCAATGTCGTACTAGGAAAAAGAAATAGTTGTGCATTTGTCGTAAATTATGTTAGGTGCGAGCGGCGATTTCGTCTAACCTACGACTGACGATTTCCAGGGGACCAGGCACTCGAGGTCCCAATAGTATTTGGTTTCCTGGGCCGCTGACAAAAGTTATATACATTGCGGGGGTAAGTGGCCGAGGACTGTCGCGTGCTTTTCCAGAGATCGGTTTGTTTTTCCTTTAGAAAATCGCTGGTCTCTGAATGGGCTTTTGTTGAGCGAACATTGACCCGCCTCTGGATCTTCGGCGGCCCAATTAGAAGTACAGAACTGCCCACGCATAGTGGAGAAAATCTGTAACTTTTTGGGAAATGAATACATGAATGCGCTCCCAGTCAACACTTTTTGAATATATAGTGCGTGACCTAGTAATGAGGGACTATTATCGAACATTTAGACAACGATGTGAGTTTTATTACGTTTAGAGTTGACGGCAAGAGAGAAAGAGTACTGTTAGTATGCAAGTATTCTGTGTGAAGCGCCTGTGAGTCAGTAGAGTTCTGACATAACAAATTATCTGAGCACACATTTCTTCCGGTAAGTGTAACGGTAGTAAAAAGTTTCTTTCCTTCTAAAAAGGCTGTTAGCATTTTTCATTTTTAATTTTTGCCCATCTAAATATTAGATACAATGGATATGGTATTCAGTGATTCGTCTGATGAATCCGTATGTTGGTCATAGTCCCCTGTGCATGTTAACCACTTCGAGATCTCACAATTGCGCCATTATTCGTGGAAAAGATGATAAATTAAAAACAGATACCGTTTTTTCTTACAATAGTGCGAAAAAGGGAGTTGATATATCTGACCAAATGTGTTCTTATTATAAATGTATACGGGAAACGGTAAAATGGTATCGAAAAGTTGTCATGGAGCTAACATGCGGGACCTTTTTAGTAAATGCGTGGTACATCCACAAAAAGTGGAGAACCAAGCGTTTCCAAATTTTAAAATGTAGAGAAAAAATTATTGATTACCTATTGAAGAGTGTTGAGAATCCCACAGTTTTAGATTACTATTAGTGAAATCCCACAGGTTTTTAGATTACTATTAGTGAAGAATTAATAGTAAGTAGCGGAAAAACCATTTTTTAAGTTCACACCAAGGATCCGCGAGGAAGATGAGGAAAAGATATAAAAAGTGTTACAAACGCTTAACAAACTTAAAAGATACACAGTACGCCACAAACAAAACTAAAAAAGTAATGACCTTCTGTAGCAGTTGTCCGGATAAGCCGGCACTTTGTTTAAAATGTTTTAAAAAATTGCATCGGTAACATAAGTAGTTATATTTTGTTATATTTAATATATTGATTATATTATAAATTATGTATTTTGTGTTAAATGTTATGCTATAAGGTAGAAATGTTAATGTATAATGTTAAATCAATAAAATTACATTTTGTACTACGTATTTTTTTATATACAAACGTGGCCCATCGGTGATGCATGCTGTCCTATTACGGAACAATCTAGCATGGGCCACGGGTGGGTCAGGCCGCTCCATGGAACAGACAAGCAAGGGCCACCGGTGGGTCATGCCGGCGTGTAAATACTGCTTTTGAACACACTTAGAATTTTGCCCGCTACATCATTAAAATTTACATTCTGGCAGGAAACTGTAGAAGGGAAAGGAAATTCGAACTAAAAGTAATTGGTTAGAATAAAATAAGGTCTTTACTGTACCAAAGCAAAAGTATTAAGTTTTTAGATTACTATTTACCTGCATAATGACATAGATAATGGGATAACTAAATGTCATAGAATTCATTTAAATTTTATTTTCTTTAAAGCAAACATAAAGCATTAACATTTTTTGGTACTTTCCCGTTTTGCCGTCGCAAATTTCGCCAAGCAGACTTTATTGGCGACAACACACAGTATACACATAAAAAATCTTGACAAATGTTATATGAAATTTTTATTTTGAAAGGCATGAATATTTTAATATCGTTTAAAATTTTGTAAAAAGCCAATAAATAAAGACAATTTGTAAAAAGACATTAATTTAAGAATTTACTATGCTTTCATAGTTCAACATCCTGATTCGCAGGTTCGTGTCACGTGATCCCAAGGGATCTCATCTCACGTAAACTGCGCTACATAAACCTAATTCTCTCAGTAATTACCTACATTAATTTCAAGCTAAATCTTAATTTAGCATACAAGTTTAAATGCAAGAATTATTTCAATTCGTACGAATAGCTGTCTCAGAAATTATGCAAAACCGTAGTGCTGTACTTCGCTAGTGCATTATCATTAGAATTGGTTAATTTAACCATTCATTTTGCCTTTTCTATATTTTCGCCTTCGGGTGAGCGGTGTGACTGCATCCTAATTGACTTGATTACCGCGAATGGCCTTAGGGCATAAAACTGAACTATCTGGTAAAAATTCTATGTAAGTGTACGCCAGTATTGAAAGAAACAATCAATTCGATAAGAAATGGCTGCGACTTGGTTTGAAGATGAGATGTAAAAGGTTACCAGCGAGGATATTCCGTTTGGCATCAGTTGAACCATTATTGGCGACTTTATTGCCTGCGCCGGAAAACGGGAAAATACCCATTTTTTTAACTATCAATTATCATGTGTACCTCAAAATTACTTCCATTACAAACAAGTTGCCTTTAACTGTGACGTGTTTATTAAATTTGATTAAATGCCATTAATTCGTTCACCGCAGTGATATACTATTATGATCTTTAACATCTACAGAACTTTAAAATGTTTCTAAATCTATTCATGTTAGCGATTCAGTGAAAACAAAATATCTGTAATTTGGATTTCCAGATATCACTTTCAAAATTTTCTTTTCCTTACGAAAACGAAAGAAATAACTTTATTTTTCATTTTTCTTACAGTCGATGCTCTACCTTTCGGTGGAGTAGGCATGAGCGGAATGGGAACATACCAAGGAAAATATTCTTTCGATACCTTTTCCCACAAAAGGTCCGTCCTTGAACGGTCGCTCAGCAGCTTCGGCGAATACATGGGAAAGTAAGCGGAACTTTTTATTTGTCCAGCTTTTTCTGGGGATTATCATTCTACTGGTATTTTCCCCTCCCTATTTCTAGTGGCATTCCTTATAAAAGAAATTGTGTTCGACCAACAGAACGCATCTTAAACAGGATTTTTAGGATCCATTGAAGCCAACGTTTTCTACTAAGAACGTTTTTATTAGCAACTTTTAAATTAAATAAAATTGCATGTCCCAAAAAAAAAAAAAAAAAAAGCCATCAGGTTTTTAAACAATTTTATCAATATTTTATTTTTAACATTTGTGAATGTAAAGTTTGAATGAAGTCTAGTGGGTTAGCTACCAATGGCCAACTGGATAAGATCAATGTACTCTGGTAAACTCTTACGGATTTAGTTGCATGAATGGTCCCATTTTCCTGGTTTTTCCTGTTTATAAAAGGAGTATAATCCAGTTTTCCTTAGAAAGCCATCACCAATGGTATCCTTCTAAAGGCAGAGAACCCTTGCACTCTTTATCGTTACAAGCTGATCAACAATAAATTATTTAGTAAAACGTATCAGAAACTATGTGAAAAAATACAGTTAAAAACCTTTTACTTCTAAATTACGCCTTGAAATTCATAAAGTATATCTTAATATCTTTTTCATATTTCAAATTGCAGGAAGTGCAGCCGAAAGTATTAGTCTATTAGCAAATTTTCTATTCCTTCTGCTATTTCGAAGCATTTAGGTCATATCATTAGGTCAATCAATATTTAACAGTAAAAACTGTAAAACTTTGACTAATACCAAATACAAGGAAAATATAAAATGTATTTCTAAATTAATTTATCTTAAGATGGTTCTATCACCAATGTTACAGAAATGCAGTACCCTTTTTTCATAAAAAATTGAGTATGTGTAAAAATAATGTAATTATTGCAAAACAAATTTTTCTTTACGTTCCTATGCATATAGACTCAAAGCGAAAACAACATATTTTAAAACTGAAAGCTTTAAAAATTAATTATGCTTTAATGTAAAGCAAAAATGGTATGTATTTTATATGACAGTATCCAAATGAAGTTGAGCATATATTAGTTTTCTTTCCAGACCCTGTACAACTCTTTCTATTTATTTGCAGCTAAGTTGTATGAAGGGTACTTTGGGTTAGATGTCCTAACAAAAAGAGCAAACTTCAGTCAGGTTGGGTAGTTAACATAACATTTCAAGATTCATTTTTAATTAGAAAATAACATAGCCGAAGTCGAATGTTAAATTTAGTAACTCAACAATAAGAGCAGTTCCGAAGATAAATGTTAAACAACGCCCAGAATATAATATGAAAAACCGTTTTATTGCAGATAAGATTTGTTCACTTAATTAAATGCGTTTAGATGAAGGGATCTCCTCAACGTAATCTCAGTCGATAAAATTCGAAAAACAAGTATGTATTACACATAAGCAGGTTAGAATTCGGTAAAAACTTATAACGTTGCGCGCCTCAAACTTGCACGCAACCAAGAGGTGACTGAGAAAGCTTGTATAAACCACAGTCTTATAAAGGGTTTAAGTCCCTTTTTATTCAACGTAATAAATTACAATGGCGTCCTCTTGACGCTTACAGACTGTGCCCACTAGGCAGTCAAATAAAATAATAACCTGAAAAAAGAAAGTAAAGACAAGATTCTAACTACGAGGCTCTCTAAAATAACTAACTCACCGCGTTTTACAATACGGCTGCTAATTCAGCAGACTTGAAGCTCACTGGAACAATTTCCACTAATTCCCGCCAAGCACATAGGCCGCAACGCGGGGTTCTTCAATTCTCGATAGCTACCTCCGCGCTCGCTAAGTAAGAATCTCACTCTCACCGAACTTGTTTCCTTCTATTTAAATCAGAATACTTCCGCTGATAATTTGAATCCTTGCGCGTTCTACTAAAATTTACATATTCTGGCATTGGCAGTTCCAGGGGAAAGTAAGGCTTGACAGGAAAGATAGTTTAAACTTAAAATAAATGTTAGTTAAAATAAATATAAACCCTACATTTGCCGCTGCCAGAATTTGGAAAACTTGGAAGCAGGTCCTACAAACGACCTGTTGTAAGTTTATCTAATTCTGAACTAACTGGCGAGAACCTCGTTTACACACACAAAAAAAAAAAAAAAAAAAAAAAAAAAAATCTTATGTAACAATTATATATTAAAATTCTGTTACTCGTTACAAAGCTTTCTTCTTACAGCAACTTTTCCTGGACTTCATCAATCAATCTTGGTCTTTCCTTCCAGCATCTGGAAGGAATAAGTATCAGTATCTTTCTACATACATTATAATTTACACTTTCATGACACAAATTTTTGTTTTTAACGATTCGTTTTTCTTAGTTATTGCTTACTTCACATTCATTCAATTTTTCAAGCATTAATTTAACTTTACCCTGGCTCTCCACCATGTGTGGTGTCAAACGGGAATATTCGTGTTTTAGTCTTACAACACTTCCCCTAACCACCATGATTTGTTAGAATTCAACAACCAAATAGACACACCTTACTCGACATTCTACAACTCAATGAGCTACTTTAATATTCTTAAAATTCAAATGTAGGTGGAGAACCCTACAAAACACATTCATTCTAACTTCCCCCTTCCCCCTCATCATCTTTAAACATGCAGGCTTTCGCTCTAAAGCATGACTTTATCTGCAATTTACTACTTAAATTTTGACTTCATTGCTTTTAAGCATTCACTTTTAGCATCTACAATTTTATGCTTCTAGACTAAATTCTACTTTTACATAACATGCAAGTATTTACATACATTTACAAAAGTTTAATACATATGCTTTTTACAATTTACCATAAAATGAATAAGAGAAAATAAATTTTTACTTTACTCATTCTTCGCCAAGCTGGCGGCACTGGAACTAAAATTCTTATTAGTACAAGAATACGAAGTTATTTTTATCTCCGGCCAAATTTTGGCTTTAACATAACAGAATTAGTCTTTCGACCAACAGAAAATGCTTGTTTTTAGCTTTTACACTAATACTTTACTTACTAAATAATACTTTTGCTTTAGCTAAATAAAGTAAAACAAAACTAAGTCTCAACCGAGACATATTGACTTTCGTCAAAACATAGAACTTCGTACTTATGCATAACATTTCGGAACAAAAGAGAAAAATATTTATAGAAGGTTTTAACTTATCTTTGAGTTTTCGATGCTTGAAATTCCGTCATCCGTTTTTGGCAAAATTGATCCCAAGTTAGAGGTTTCATGGATGTCAATCTTCTCCTTATTGATCTCCGAGAGTCGTCCCCGTTGCTTTTTCTTTTGCGTCCTCTACATGCTGGCCTCTTGACGGAGTAATCGTCTGGTTGTTGACCTTTCCGCTTCTGCCTGGGACGGCTGGTCTTGACGTCCTCCGGTCTGGAGTCCTTGAATTTCTTCTGTTCCTCGTACTTCTGTGCCTCCTGTTGGCGTTTCAATTTCCGGAACGGCGGCCTTGCTGGCACCTGACGCTGTGGCCGTGCGCGCGTTCTCCTTGATGTGTAATTTCTCCTGCCCTCTTTTGTAGGTGGTGTTTTCGTCTTTACCACGGTTTCTTTACCCGGTTCATCTGTATTTTTGTTTTTCTTAAACGCCGGAGTTTGAAAATCATTTTTTCTTTTTGATACCGACGTCCGGGTTGTAGAAGTGCTAGGTCTCTCTTCAGTTCTCCGTTTCTTGGGTGGTGGAATAGTTGTTGCAGTCTCTGGCCCTTCTATTTCGTTTAGACTTGAGTCCTGCAAAAAACTTTTAAGGATTTCAAAATCATTTGGATTATAGTATTTTTTCACCTGGTCGGGACTTGCTTTACAGATTTCCCCTCTGTCGTTCTTAAGATATAATACTACCCCTTTGATTTCCTGAATTACATAGGGGCCTTCAAACTTTGGAGCTAGCTTTGCCATAAAATTGTCTGGGGCACTTGATAAAGAAAATTTCCGCTTCATACTTTATCCCCAACTTTAAAATCTGCTTCACGGCGTTTTCTATCATAATAAATTTTCTGCCTATTTCTTGCCGTATCCGAGGTTTTAAGCGCCTGATCAATTAGCTTTTGCACGTCCTTTTGTTTAAACTCCTGCTCTCTTTGTTGCACAAAGAATAATTTATCTAAAGGCGTAATTAACTTTCTGCCTAAAAATAATTCTGCTGGAGTTTTTCCCGTAGTATCATGATGTGCCGTTCTTAAAGCATAAGCTAATTCATTTATGTAGCCATCCCAGCGCTTGTGATGTGTGCTAACGTAACTGCGAATTATTTTTACAATGTTTTTATTAACTCTTTCTGCTATGTTAGCCTGTGGTCTATACGGAACCATTTTGATATGGCGTATATCAAGTCCATTGCATATGTTTTCAAATATTTCACTAATGAATTGTTTTCCGTTATCGCTAATGACTTTTATCGGTGCACCGTATTTTAAAATGTATCTGTGTAAGAATGCATCTGCGACTGTTTTGGCTGACGCGCGTTTAAGTGGAACAATTTCTATCCATTTTGAAAAATGATCTACTATTACTAAAAGAAAATGATTTTTATTTAACTCGCTCTGGGGGAAGGGACCAAGGAGATCTATGCCTAAAATTTCATTCGGAAATGTAGTGCGAATGCTATTTAAGTACCCGGCCGGGCTGTAATTAATATCATTTATTAACTGACATTGATTGCAGGACCTGACATACGCCGTTACTATTTTGTATAATTGCGGGAAATATACCGCCTCGCGTACCCTTTTTATAGTCTTCCTGACCCCGAGGTGGCCCGCTGTTTTTTTTTCGTGCAACTCCTCAAAATGCTTAATCGAAGCGAGGCTGGGATGACTGGCTTATACTCAAGATTTTCGTTTGTTGTTTTCGTATAGAATAATAAATTATCTATTATTTCATAGTTTTTTTGCTCTATTTCTTATCGCATCGATATCTGTATGCTCAAAGCTTTCGGGGTCTTTCAAATAAGCATAGATATTTCCAAATTCAGGATCAGCTTTC